TTTAAAAGTAACGATCACATGTTCGCACTCCAGTTTTGGTGTAAAACGACTGGTGTGAGACGAATTTTGCGAGTTGACATGTGTAAAAATTGTCACACGTTAGTTATCGCATAACAAATCTGTGATTCGAACACTGAAATTGATTCGGAACATCGAACTTTGAACGGTGATAACAGATGAAGTAAAAGTGTGTGAAATAATGAAAATTAATGAAATGCGAATGATGAAAAGAATAAATGATCAGTTGAATTATCGCAGATCATTGAATGAGTAAAGTTGTTGTGAAACGTACATATAGTTGCATATATCTCACATACAATGGCTGATTTGATTTAATGCATAATAGTTAGTTATAGGGGATAAGATATGAATTTGACATGGAATGAATCGAAAACGAGTAGTCACATATCAAAATGTCATTTCTTGATTGCGGCACAACCAGACAAGGCACACAGGCAGTAGTACGACACGGACAGACGGACATGCTTGTGGCTAATGGGTTATGAAGCACAACTTTATTTGCATCAGCTAACGCAATTCTCTGGAGATTGATCACCAACAAAACCAGGCAATTTCGGTGGGTTGTGTCTCCTCGTTTAGTCTCATTGTACCTGATAGTGCACGTTCGTGTGCTTACTTATTGTGTTCGATCGAATAGCATTCGCCATTTCTCATTCAAACAACACACAATGAAGGAACGAACGGCTCTTATTAAATCTTATCACAACGATTACGAGCATCACTCTCGTCGTTACTTAACAACAAAAAATCTATTGGCACCAATTGCTTGCGTTCTCAACGGGTAGCACATAAGGCAAAATGCGCCTTATGCGAAACGTATAACCTCAGAACACCCAAGTGAAAATAAGATAACTTCTGCGACAGGTAAACGACTGAAACGCGAACATTACTGTAGCGAATTTTTGTGATTAAAAATTCATTTAGACAACAAGAAAAACAATCGAACAAAAAACGTATTCAATTTATTTAAAACTCTAAGAACAATTGGTTCAAGCTTCAATGGTTAAACACTACACTATGGATAACTTGTAATGAAAACCGTGCCTTGGCACGGTAGCAAGTGAAAATAGAGCCGTAGTGCTAGGAGAGACAGTCACATTCCAACGAAAAAGACCTTACACGGTTGAGATTGGTCACTATCTCCGGATGTTTCGAATTGACGGTTCCAGGACATTTCAGTAGTTCATTGCTTTATCATTACATCTAGGTTACCTTCCTCTTTTCACATTTGCACAGGACAGATGTGGAAATGTAAGCAAACTGGCATATACTCAATTTTGAAAAATGTTCTTTTTTTTTCGAAATACCTATCAATCCTTGAGGCTAACGCTCATCACCTCTATCTGCAATGAGCAATCGACCAATTTTTTGACGTTCAATTGTACAAAATTAATCGCTACTGCACAGAAAACGGATTACAGCAAGCACATCCCAAGTTTGAAGTGCATTTAAAGTATTGTGAGGCGATTCACAATTGAGTGCAGATTCGACCGTACACATCTCTATCCGTATGCAGAAACGGATCGAAGCAACAGGGTCTAGAATGCCCGTCCTTCTCTCACGTTTCGCCCCATATTTGATCGCCTCGTGCACATTTTGCCTATCTATGAATGTCGTCTCTAAAATAATCACAAAGTCATATCTCATCACCTAGTTAACGTGATGAATCTCTGGAAGCACTCACATTTTAGCAAAATCTGCATTTGTGCGGATTGCGAGAGGTGAAACTGACGTAATCCTGTAACAAATACAGAATGTTGGCTGAATTTTCACGTTCACACTTATAAGTGCTGTTTTAAATAGATGGAAGTGAATGGAACTAACCGAAGAGTCAAAGCGTTATTATAGGGCGATTCGCAGCGCAAAAAAAGAGAGTGATTCTTTATGTGATAAGTACGCACAAGAAAACGCTTTGCTTTTTACTTGAAATTATCGTCGCAATCGCACAATGAAAGAACGTCATTCATTGATTTTACTCATTCCAAACACTTCTATTGCCCGGCTGCACTTTGTTGACATTCAAAAGGAAATGCTATCAACGGGACATCAACTCATAACATAATCCAAAGTTACAGTAATGCGAAAATTTGCTTTAATCTGCTGCAGGCATTGTATCTCACTCGAACCAATCAACTGAGAACGCTTTCATAAAATAAGAACACTCACCAGCAATTCATCTCAGACACCATTCACTCTGTATGTCTCACGATGTCGAATGATTTGCTGCATTTACAATAGAAAATTTTCGGCGGACAACTTCAATATGATAAAAGTATTCGTCAAATTGCTTGCTTGAAGTGCAAAAATAGTACCTCGCCTGATAAGTTAGTATCATTCTGTGTAAATATTTTCATTCAAACGTCATTGCATAGTTCTGTGGCCTTCCCCCTTCTCCTACCTATCAGGTTTACTTTGAAAACTCAATTCAATTGTTCACTGCCGTAAATGTTTCGAGAAAATGTAATGGAATAACAATTTTTGACTTCATTTCAACTTAACCTGCGGTCACCTATTGTAAGTAAATATTTCTGTTCCTTCAATCACCACATTAGTGCTTATTACTTGGAGTATCATAACTGGTTTTTATGTTTTTCAGTGAAACTTACGTCAGCCGTTCTATGCACCCATTCCATATTAGTCACTCGACTGCAGTGGTTCGACTATCGACAGCGACCAATATCATTCACTATCTGCCACATCTTGAATTGTTACTATAATACCATGTGCAGCACTAGTCAGTGCATTCTGTTATGGTGATCATTAAGTTGGTCTTGACGGCTGTTAGAAAGAAGCAAAATCCTTATTTGATGTCAGCTCACTTGCTAACCATAAACCCGGAGGTGACTTGTAAATACGGTGGTTCAAAATATGCACATTTTGTTGACGTCAACAAGTCGCAACCAAAATTTGCATGTGAAAACGTATCCGTATGGTCACCACTTCAGTCAGCTATAATATATCGCAGAATTGTGGAACTCGCTGAAAACTTTTGATTTTGTTTTTATTTTGAAACCAATCGAAAACGGTGCGTCACTATTTTATGCGCCGTAAGACTGTCCTCTACGGAGCGGTGATCACAGTCATCAGTTCCGATCACGATGGTGCCTTAATACTGCTATATTGAAATGTCTGTCATTTCTTGACCGATTCATGAGACATCAATTAGCCGTTTAATTGCGTCATTTATGATCGATGATCAGTTTTGAATAAATTATTATACTATTGGATTTGCCGCATAATTTCAGCCTGTCAAAGGAGGAAAGACTAGTGAAAGTTTTGCGGAAAGCACGAAAATGGCATCAGATGCGCAACCGCCAAGCAAGCAGAGAGTTGTTGAGAAGCAGTTTCTCGATCCTGGCATCAGTCGCGATTCACAGAAAGCGACACGGGCATTGTACCAGGTTGCTGAATCTTGTGAATGCGCAGTGCTGAGAACCTCTTATTGCGTGTCACTATCGGGCAGTGCTCAGAGAAATTATCTGGGGTTGGCATCATTTAGAAACTAATTCTCATTCACGCGGGTTTCAGAATCATATTCAAACACTTCAGCAGTTTCAGTGAAGTTCGAAGTCCGGGCCAATATTAACCTGCTTTGATGAAACTGCCTGGTATATTTCGCAGTGAAAAGAATGGAAAATGATCAAATGCACGCATAAAGTATAGAAGTTTGCCAATTACAGAATGCCACTTTACCAATGGAATGTGTGGTTTGCGGCGATCGTGCATGCAGTCATCACTATTATGGTGTTGCGGCATGTCACGGATGTAAATGCTTCTTTTGGAGATCTGTTAAAGGAAACGCCAAATACGTTTGTCGATATGACGGTAACTGTGCGATTAATGTCAGTAAGTGCATAGCGCATTCCCAGTCATTCGCACTTGATCTACTCGCTGATAGCTTGTCGCTAGACTGATTGCAAATATCCGGGTCGGAAACGAGATGCGTAATCCCAATTGGACGAAAGTCATATTTGTTGACGAGTGCACCTTTCAGATGGACGAAATTCCTGTCGATACTGCCGGTTCAATCGTTGTCTTCAAGCTGGTATGAAACCTGAAGGTATGTTTCTTTATAGAGCTGAATCTAATTAACTCAAATAGTTTTGGTAAGCATGGCGAATGGCTGCATGAGGATGATAATTTCAGCAGTTAGAATCGAGAAGCAACGCATAATGGAGCAGATTCTGTCAGCAGGAGCGAAAATGAAGCGTTGTCAGCGTGCGCTTGATATCACTGCAGATTACACACTGAAAACAATCGATGATGTCAATATGACCAAAACTGTAGGATATTTGCACTGTTTCCTGATTGGAGTGTTTTGCAAACGAAGTTTTAGAGTCGAGATGGTTGTGTGAACGGGCACATGAATAGACATCTATTGCTTGACATTTTCATTTTGTTGTCATTCGATCCTACTGGGTTACTAGCATTGATATTGCCATATTTCAGGTCTCGATTAGAAAGGAACAATCCGAAAATTACGCCCTAATGGACTCACTGATTCAAACTGAACGGATCGTGACTGAAGGTGTGCACGACATGTGGCATTTGCAAACAGCCAGCAACCTGCGAGATGCATTCTGCAATCCGCCCAAGTTAGATGCTGACCGAACACCGGTCAGTGATATTTAGATGTCGAATCAACATAATCTCAATGACGGATAATTTTATGGATGTATCGAAGAATGCTTTATGAAATGTATTATGATGATTTTCAAAAACCTATAATACAAGATTGACAACAATTCAGTTTGTCGAATGTGAACATGTTACAGATCGTATACGGTCAAACTCAGATAGAATTTCGCAATGAAAGCGAGAAGAGCGGTCGACGAATGCTTGTTGCGGCGATTGACTGGATTCGTTTGATGCTGAACGTGCACGAGTTGCTAACTGTTGACGACAAGGTTATACTTGACTATTGTATCGTTAAACACTTTGCGTAAACGCTCGAGTTGGCTGAACAAAACTAAGTGCAGAGTCGTTCTAGCAAGTCAGTTTTCGCTAAATCGCACTTCACCAAACAAACATCCGTTATAATTTCCACCCCTTCGAATATGAACACCATTGAAGGTGTCGCTTCTTCGATCTTGTTACGCCGCACTAACGGTGTTCGAGTTGTGTGTGCGTACGACCAAGATCAATTGTGATCGCTCAATTCTTTGCTTACCAAATGGTTATGCAATCCCACGGGATGGTGTGAACATACCTAGAAGGTATTCATTCATATCTTTGTTTAATACTAACTGCGTCCCGATAGAACATCATCAAAGTCATAAAGTATTTTAAATATCGACTCAGCAGAGCAACTAATTCACAAATAATATTTGCACTTTCAACTCATCATTGTTTATTGTTCAAGAAGATAATTTGGTTTCTACAAAGAACTAGGGAAATTCATTTGGACACTGTACGTCACATCATATTGGCGACTATAATTTCAGTTTTCTGAGCGTGAAACTGATCAGAAGTATGATCGATACGCTCGTAAAGCCACTACACATGCAACAACTCAACGAATTTGAGGTTGTAATGTTCAAGGCGATCATCATACTCAATCCAGGTATGTATGACACCTAACCAACCAACAAAACTAACTTTTTCAATGAATACCGTTAGCCTTCTTAGCAGTAGTTGTGTCGCATTGAACATTTCTGCGATGTGATGATGAATAGAGTTAAGTTAGAAAGTACGATGTAAGCAAATTTGAATCATTGACGATAATTCATCGAAGATGCGAATGGATTGAGTACAACAGCAGTTAAAGTCGTGTCGATGTTAAGAGATCGTGTGCATGCAGCCCTTTATCAGCACTGTACTGAACACTACACGAACGTTTTGGCCACAATGCGCTTCGCGGAACTCTTCCATCTGCTACCCAAAATCACGGTACATCTCAAGAGTTCTTTCGAATTACCTCAAAACTGAATTGAATTGATACAAGTTCCGTTGACACTTCAAAAGGATCAAGTCCAATGTATTTGTTTCAAAAGAAAAGCATCATTTGTTGAGCAAGAAACAACTTTAACGTTGGAACACGCTCGGAAATCAATTTCATTGAGACGTATAAAGCTTAGCAGAATCGGCCAAAGTTGAGAAACTGAAGTTAGACTTTTACAGACACTTGCTGGACAACTAGAAGACCATATCCAGTTGTCGCATACGTTTTGCAAGACTGTGCCCAGAGATGATCTACTTTACGAGTTGCTCGGTGATATCTTCGATAGCAATTGTGACACTTTTGATAATTGCGCTCGATCAAATGATAGCACTTCGTAAGTTTTATAGCATACAAGTCAACGTGGCTTTATTCCGTACGTACGATTCGGATAATGAGGCTACAGGAAGTAAATTCAATGAGATATTTACTCAAATGTTTAGTCGCTGAAAATGTGTGGTAATGTTTTGTTATCGGAGTGATTTTCCGCGCATTCTTCCCGAAGAATTCAGAAAATGTCTCACTGCTCAGTTACCTTTGTTTTCAATCTCCTTTGTGCAGGGAAATGTCCATTTCACATTTCATTATTTTTCAAACACTCTTTGGAAGGAAATCCACAAGAATAGTGCAATATTAACGTTTATAGAAGCACAGAGTTCTCAGAGCAAAAGTTGTCAGATACGTTGAAATCATCACTGGAGAGCAGTTGACTCAGGGCGAATACCTCTCTGTACTCAACAGACTGGTATTCGAGAAGTGACTCGGCTACATCGTGTAGTTCGTTCAAGACAAATCCTCAACTTCAAGGCAAAGAAAAAGAGCAACAAATAGAACAATGCTTGCTGTCATCTTCCGACGATTTATTCTTATTTTGAAACTCAATCATTTGTACATATCTCTGCATCTGCTCTGTTTGGTCGCAAGGTAGGTTCATCGATAAGATTTGCTGTGTTCTTTTTTTTTCTATTGTAAAATACCTTTGACAGTTTTTTCCTGATTCAATATGACAACTTCACGAAGTTTATCATCAAATTCATATTTCGGCCTCCGCAAATTTTAGTCAAAGGTTTCCGAAAAAGACTTCCACGTTTCAATTAAGGTTCGATCTTTCAGTAGCAATGTGTTTTTCATTCACATAAAATCGCATTTGTAACATTTCGAAAATAAAACGGATCGCAGTCGTGTGATAAAATGAACTTCGCAATGATTAGTCAATTACTCTGCAGTAGGAGTCGCATTTGTTTACACTTTGAAAAAAACGAAACTAGACTGATGTGAGCGAATGAGAGAAAATTTGATGCTTGATTATTACTGTCAGTGTTTATTGCTCATCATGAACTGTTTCCTGTGGGACATATACGTCTACCGCTTTTTTCACTATATTCAGTTGTTTAGTCGTATTTTTATTAAATTGCATAACCTACATTGCTCTATGATATCGGTGCTCTATTCAGATGACTGGATGATTCATCTCGTCGATTCATTTCCAGAGGACAGTCATCAAATCAGCTTCCAGTGATGACATCAATCTTTCGATTCATTTATTGACAACATTTGTCGAAACTTGCGTTGAATCGACTGAGTGTATCGTGCAGTCCATTACATGTTTTCTGATTAATTACACATTTATTTGTTGACGAAAATGAGTGTTGTGTATATTTTTTTGCACACATTTGTACGTTTGGTTTATGGGAATAGTCGCATGCGATGGTTCGTTCACTTCAGTTTTTAAGTTTCCAAAATGAATGTCCTTGTCATTCTGTTTTAAAATACTTGATATTATGAGCCGGTTCGATTGTTTCTTGTATCACATTTTAAAGTGCTTTTTTTTCTGCGTGATCAGTGTTCAATGACT